TAAATAGAAACTCCAGGGGAAAAAGGTTACTAATAACAGGTTCGATTAAAGTCGACAAAGGGAAGTTGCTGGTTGTTAGTGATGGCTTGGTATAGATTTTAGTGCATGGTGTACTTAATTTTATACACAGCAAGCTGACCACCGTCCGAGAATCTTGTTCATTTTCAAAAGTAAACAAATAGGCAGAAAACCACATTTATTACTCTGGTCTACAGATCAAGTTATTGATTAATATTAACTAATTAAAATAAACTTATATATAGGCCTATAGGCAGTAAATACACACTGGACCATTGAATTCAACACGAGAGTAAAGGCCGGAGCAATTGGTGTAGGCCTACTTTATTAATTATAATATATCATCAAGGGCGATCCGAATCCCTCCGGGACGGGATCGCGATCCCGCCGGGACGGGATGGATCCCGACGGAAGCGGGATTTTATGACCTGATGACACCGCTTTGACCTGCAAAGATATGATATGATTGGATATAATTACAACTGTCATTTCAAAAATATGACGAATTATTTTCAAGACTAAAGAAGGGGGTAGAAATTAGAGGCCTAAAAACGAGAAATCCAGGAGGTAACGAAGGCAAGTAGACCTAGGATTATGAAAATTGTGACACATTATTGTTGTAAAATGAATACATTGCATTAGTTAATTTACGTGGTATGCGTGAGTAAGAAAAAATAAAAAAATAAAACTAGGCCTATAGCCTACATAGCTGAGGCTAGGCCTCTACTGACCTACGACTACTACTAACCTATGCATGCATAGGGCCTATGCTTATAATAATGTATATCATTATTTTATAAGGCCCCCTATGCCTTAGTTGGGCTAAGTAAAACTTAAAATATGACTCAGAAAATCTAATTTACTTACTAGCATACTACATTGGCACCAGGAGCACTGCATATCAGCATCTAGACCTTATATTTATATATTAATTTTTTTTAGTGGTACGCTAGGCCGTATGCAAAATGCCGGAAAATGTACAGTAGGCCTCGCTTATTTATATAATAGTTGCTTGTGGCTCCGCGGGTTTATCTTGAATGCTGTCTAATCGGTCTGCCGCGCACGCCTTTGATAATTGTAGGCCTAGGATAGGCCAAAGTAATATAGGCCTATCTAAAAGTCAGACAATGCTAAGTAGGCCTAAAAATGTAATGACGTGCACAGCCTAGGTCTAGATTCGGCTATATCATTGTTGCATCTGGGAATGCATCAAGATGGAAAAATTATGCTTCTGTGCTTGCAGTTGTCTCTTCTATCCACCTACACTCTAGCGCTCTAGAACAACAAGGAACATTCTGGTCCGTGTACTGTACTTGCCCATACCAGTTTTCGGGAAGTTTCGGCTCGACAGTCGTTTCGGCTTATTTATTATTGGTTTTTTTTCTTATTTATCTGGCTTTTGCTTTATTTTCCTTAATTTTGAAAAGTTCAAAGATACAAGTGCAAATAAAATTCAGAAAATATTCTGAAATGTTATGGTGTTGTCTCACTTTCTATGATTGTGTAAACTTGAAATGATAATTGATGGCCTGTAATATTAAATGTAAGGATAGGCCTATCTCTGTCTCTTATACACATCTAGATGTGTATAAGAGACAGGTATAATGGTAAACTTTAAAATTGGTTGAAAATTTGTATTTAAAAAAGCATTGTTTCATGGGAGCTGCAGCTCTACCTAGTCCATATTAATCCCACTGGGATCCCGATCAAAAATCCCGGTCGGGATCCCAATAGAATTCGGTAGGATCCCGATAGAATCCCGGTCTGGATTCTATCGGGATTTTTGATCGGGATCCCAGTGGGATTTGTGGTCGGGATTCCCGATTTAACGGGATCCCGATAGGGATTTTTAATTGGGATCCCGGCGGGATTTTTAGTCGGGATTCCCGGTTTATCGGGATCCCGATCTAGATTTCGATCGGGATCCCAGCGGGATTTTTGGTCGGGATTCCCGGTTTAACGGGATCCCGATCTAGATTTCGATCAGGATTCTATCTGGACTTTTGATTGGGATCCCAGCGGGATTCCCAGTCGGGATCCCGACTGGGAATCCCGACCAAAAATCCCGCCGGGATCCCGATCGGGATCCCGGCGATTTTTTTAGTGGGGTTGGACTTTATTTTATTTTTTTTTGTATGCAATACGGTAATGTCGAATCAGTTTCAGAAATGAGATTTTGGTCATTATAAATCACTGAATTACACCAAAAATTAATTTCAACTTTAAAAAAAGATCAGCCAAAGGTCGTCGGGCAGTCGGACCAAAACAAAAATAAATAAAAGCCAATCAAGAAGTCAAGCAATCCCTCCCATACCCCGGATCCAGCCTTCGGCCCTTGGATAACGATGCGCGCTATAGTTACAACCATAAATACTTAGCCCCCCCCCCCCCCCCCATAAATTATATTCTAGAGCAAAATCTATAAGATTTTACATGCATATCATTGTGTTTGAAAAAAGTGGAGGATATGCTTCTTTTTAACCATTTTATAATAAATACGTAAGAGTCAATGAGATTTCTAGTTCGTCGACAATGTTGTTGTATAGGCAAGAAATACAGACAGCATATGTTTCCGCTTACGTTTCTTATGAAAAGTTGACTTGGAGTCAACTTTTCATAAGAATCGTTTGCAACGCAACGTATGCGAGTTCATTCAACAAAAAGTCACTAAATCGCGGTTTCCTGTCAAATAGTGGAAAATCGACGTATTACATGAAAATTCAATACGTCGGTTTCCTGTCCAAAACTTTTTTGCGACGATTTTAGTTTACGTTACGTTGATTTCACAATGCACCAGTCTTAATCGGTTTCCTGTCAAATCGCATTTTCTTACGATAAAACGATGTAATCGTAAGTAAATCTGCCTTCTTACGTCGACAAGAAACCAGGCTTTAGGCACTTTAATCGCTAATCACTTTATCAGTGAACAAAATCCCGCACACTGAGGTCAGCAGGCTATAAAAATGTAAAGTCAATTTTGATCCATAATAATTTAAAAACTACTGAACGTAATTCATTATAATTTCGGATCCTGTATTTCACATACTCATCTCTAAATATTGAAAACGGCATTCAAAAATATTGTATAGTTTTCTCGTTATCGTAAAATAAGTGCCGCACCTTCATTCGTTTCATTCCAGTTCCCACTTCCCACTTACTCCGTGTGTTAGTATATACAACGCTCATTCGGCACCGCGTGAATTACGACCTTTGTAAACAACGTTCTCTGCATGACGTTTTGAAAAAGCAGAATCCGGACATTGTTATTGGTCCTAACGCTCCCATGTGTTCCTTTTCTGAGAGATCCGATCTTATTAATCTTTGTTGTCATCTTTGTTCGGAGAAAAACCATTCATTTATTGATATAGTACAGCGAGTTTAAAAAGTCCAGTAATTTTTTTTTAGGTCTAAACTCAACCGAATTGTTCGCGAACAAGGAATGTATGAAAATATATTATTATAACTACTACATGACGTTATTAAATTTGAGAAATAATTAATAACGAACGGCGGCTAGAGATATTAAAATGTGTCTTTCAATTGTGTGTGGTGGTCGGTGCTAGGCCCTTCGCCGCAGAGCGTAGACTTGGTGCATTGTAATTAGACACCGCCTGGACATTGTAATTTCATCGGGTTTTGAATGTTACGATTCTCGTCCGATCGTGTTTTCAGGCCTAGTTTAGGTTGCGTTCTATTGCTAATTGTATATGGTATGTGCACAACTGCGGTGTAATTCTTATTTTAGGATTGTAATGTTTATTTAATAACTTTACTTATGTTAATGTTAATGTTTAGGTCTATCATTTTCGATGTTTTCTAAAGCGGTTCACGCTAGCTAGGGTAGGCTTAGGCCTATGCCTTTCTTCTATAGACTATATACTATGAATTAAAATATTAAAAAGGGCCAATGCCTGTATATTTTCTACTAATAGGCCTACTAGGCTATATATATTTTTATAAAGTACATTAGTGTTTTTATTACAGTACTATAATTCAATTAATTAATGGTGTATGCCTAGGCCTATTAATTATATATGTATGTACCGTACATGTGAATATTTTTCTTGTTATTGTTGAAGTTTGACTTTCTTGTTGAAGTGTTTATTAGTACAGTTGAAGAAAATATTTTTTTTTTTCAAAAAAGTACAAAATTAACATCATAAATTTCTAACCGAACAGGGGTACCAAGCTATTTTTGTAGCAAAAACACTAGTTAAAATAGGCCCACAGGAAGATGTCAAAGAAATGCGTTGCGTATGGCTGTGCAAAGGCTAGTGTGTGTGTAATCTCAAGTTAACACGAGCACTCCCTCGTTAGTTGCCATGTTTACATCATCGAAAATACAGTAGTGCAATATTTTACGAATGCCCGCATAGGAACCTTGGCCCTCGCAGAGGTCTGGTCATTAATTTTTTTCGAGGTGGCAACAAAATTGTTGTTTTGCTGCATGTAGCCTATGCCCACCTGTGATTTAGTATAAATTCACCATTAAAACTTTATGTGAACTGATTTTGTCCTGATCCATAGTGTAACGTGATAGACAGCAGTCAATTTTAGTCATTTGATTCTGTATTAAATTGTTTTTAATTCATTTGTAGATTCTTCAATGCCAGGAGCAGCTTCCAGCGATACTGAAACGGCGCCACCAGGTTAGTGTTTCAGAGGTTATTACTATTTTGTGTCTCATGAAATTATTTTTTTTAAGAGAGCTATATGACTATTAGGTATTATTATAATTATTGATTTTATATGCTATTTTTGTTACAATAATATTATTATTCCAATTATTTTATTGTGCTAGACTTACTTTTATTTTCACTTCAGATGAACGTCTTGGTTATCTTGAAGACAAGCACCTGCTTCGTATAGCCGAGGGCATGGGAAGGGAGTGGAAACAACTGGGCGTCAGATTGGGTCTCAGTTGGAAGACGATCCAACAAATATTGATTCATAAGAGAGGATTGCCAGAGAGCATAATTGATATGCTGATAGAATGGAGGAATCAACAGAACTATGAGACAAATCAAGTTGAGATAATGCGGAGAGCTCTGAAGGAACAGGGACTCACAGAGCTTGCTACCAAGGTCTTTGGTTCACAACAATTGTTAGATGTTCAACCATTCTGTGTGAAAACACGTAGAGAATATTTCAGTGGAACATTGCAGCAGAACCATGAAGGTTAGTGAATTATTATTAATACTGATGAGATATGATCTGGTATGTTTAGATATTGGAAAGTTGGATCCTCTTCCAACTGGAAAGTCCTGGAAATTTAATATTGTCCTTGAATGTCCTGGAAATTTGATTATTTACCATTAATTGCAGTACTACAAGTTGCCTAGTAACAGTAAATTGAATGAGAAACGTTCCCACAAGTGGTTCCCACAATTATCTTGAGAGAATCAGGTCAAGTCTTTGTACGCCGCCAATTCAGGAATGTTATCAAGACAGAAAGAATGTCAGAAAGTATAATACATACTCCAAGTATTGAAATACACGCCATCGTGTATTTCAATACTTGGAGTATGTATTATACTTTCTTATCTGTGATTAATCAGTGGACCTTTTAGTTTTTGAAAGAATGTAATTGCTGAAAATGGCCGATTAGCTGGTTCAGACAAACTTGTGCGATTCAGCGAATGGAGTTGTTCAGCTATGTTTTAGTGAAGGTGGTGCTTTTTAAAAAAAATCTTGTATATTAATAATATTGGCATTTAATTTTAATTCAGACATTGATAATCATAATCGTTAACTTTGCTATGGTGTTATTTGCTTTCTGTCGTGTTTTAAAACAGTACTGAAATATTAAAGCGAATTCACCGGGCTAAGCATGTGCGACAAGACCTGTTCAACTTTCAATCAGTTGAACAGGTCTTGTCGCATGTGCCGCGCTTGCTCGGTGAATTCGCTTTGAGTAATTCATCACTCTTCAGACGCGCCCACATGTTCAGCACGAATGGGCATGTTTTGGCCCTATCCAGCGCAAGGCAGTTAATTAACAATTAAAGTAACCATGGGAACGTGTACTTCTACGGTTATTTTCTTAGTGAATGGCGTTTAAAGGGCGTTTACTGTTTGAAAAACAATGCTGTTTGGCAGCAGATCAGTACCGGTATTTTGCTGTAGAGTACGTTATAAAAGTTGTAGGCCTACAACTAAGGCCTAATAATAATAGACCTAAATATTAATACTAATGTTGGGCTTAATATTAATGAATAATAATAAATAATACAGCATAGTATGATGTGTTGAGAATAGAGCATAACCATTAAATTAATAATATAGTAATCATTCGTTCATACAACTTTATAAACACCTAAATATATATGAAATGAGATGCATTAACGTCTCTGCAACGTACACCCATCGAAGGCTATACTGTATTGTTTTACTGATACGGTACATGTCAACTTCGCAACAGCTGTTCGCTGAACAACCCTTGGCTGGCGATAACCCAACCCGCGGCGCCACAATAGAACCGAGTATTCCTGTGCGTCGGTACCACAAAAGACACTGTCACGTTTAAGCAAAGATAAGACCATTGTTGTACGTGCACATTTATGTTGCCGAGTGGAGAATTCCCTCTAGGCGATCACCCTTGCCTTACTTTACCGGTACTTCCCCATACTCCCGGTACTCCCCATATAAGGAATCCCTTTGCTTACCATCAAATTTTACACGTGTGAGGAAAGCTTAATTTTTAAAAGAAAAAGAGACAGGTCCATCGCCTCCAAATTAGAGTTTGATAAAACTTAATATGCACTAAATATTGTGTCCTTGAAATTTGGAAAATTTGACCTTGAATGTCCTGGAATTGTCCTGGAAATTTGCTTGTTTAAAAACGTACGAACCCTGTTTATTGACTAATAATGTCTTATTTATCATTTTGATATTTCTTCCATTGTTTAGTTTTTTTCAAAAAATACATTCAAGTTATATTTTTAGTCACAATTGTTACTGTTAATGTTCACTATTTTCTTATGTTTTTATGAAAACAAAACATTTATTCATGTAATACAACATCATCATCACCTTCAGTAATTTTCTTCCTCGTATTGTGTATTTAGGTTACATGACAGACTTTGACTTGCAATTTTTCGCCAAAATTCTTGGTAAAGACTGGAAAAAATTTGGCATCGACATTGGTCTGAAGTTAGATGAAATAAATAGAATTGAGATGGACTTTTCACCACCGATTGTAGATGCTAGCCTTGAAATGTTGATTAGATGGCGGGATAGGCAATATTTTACAGTAAATCAGGTCAACATCTTCAGTGCTACATTGAAGAAACTTGAAATGGAGGACATCAATGAAGAATTTCATACTTACCTCAAATACATAAGCTTTCAAATGTCAGATGATCAATCAACTATTGTAGATGCTGCTGAAGCATGTGCAACTGAAAGAACACCCCTGAAGCACCGGGAATTCAAAGGTTAGCAAGCATTTTATTGGGTTTCACTACATTGTAAATGGCAGCATTGTGTTATTTTGTGTTTTTTTTATAATCATTATTCTGTTTCAGAATTGTTTGTTAAACATAAACATATTAATTGGCCCACATAAATACATGAATGAATGAGAATTCTTCTGATTCGAGTGATGTATCCGCAGGTTTTTCACAGGGGTTCATTTAGCAAAAAGGCAATTTATGGCTCCATTTTAAAGGACTTGCGAAATATAGCCAGAACAATATATATAGATAAATTAAATTGTTAGTAATACGTTGAATCTCTTTGTTTTAAAAAAAATCGCGCTTTTCATGCTATTTTAGGGCAATTAAAAGAGACTATATTATAGCATCGCTCTGTTAGTTCAGATATTCATAGTAAACAATATGCTAATTAGGTGTGACGTCACTTGTGCCGAACCAAAACGTAAACAAGCACATTTACACTGGACGTGCCACGTACAAAACATGGCTGAAGTTCGTTGTTCTCTTTTGTCTCTGTGAGAAAAGACAATTACCAAAGCAAAGAGTATTGCTGAAACTCCTACAGACCTGCCTTAGTACATTGCCTTTGGATGTAAGCATAATATATAAAGACCACAACATCTAAGTTTCTTAAGTTTTCCGATGTAAAAATTGGTGAAGAAATCGTAGGCCTAGGCGGCTTGGGGAGCCCACTCAACACAGCACTTCATTCATTCACGATGTTGTGATGATAGAGTATTTCACAATGTCGACTGCTAGGCGAGAGACCTAGATTATTTATCGTCTTTAGAATACAAGGAAAAATATTTAAGGAAGATAAAAACGAATGCAGTGCCTGTAGTATTTAATTCAACAACCAACACTTCCACCCAAGATCGTGGGGCTTATCAAAAGGAAGGAAAAAGGAGGTAAGTTGAGAACTAGCCTAAGAAATGGAAATCGGAATAAAGCCACCCCTGTCCAAAGCCACCCAACAACAAATTATACCATTGTAAGGTAGGGGTGGTCGACAATGGGGTGTCTTGATGCTGGTCTACAATAGGTTTCTGCTGCAGTTCTAGGAGTGTCTTTGTATCAGCTTTTGTGTATTATGAATTAGAAACTGGGTGTAGTCTACATAGGCATAAACATCATTAGCTTGTCCTAATGATGCAATTGAGTGGGGTTTTTTTAAATTTTTAAATTTTTATATGATAATATTGATTTATGTTTTTATACATACTTTCATTACTATTGATATACTATATTAATAGACAGTATTTTATCAGGTAAAAAACAAGGTATACTTTACATTTGCTATACTTGTATACTGTAATGCAAGACTATATTTTCTTTTTCTCACTTTTTTGATTATTTATTATTCTTAATTGTATCAAAAGTAATAGCAATCAAAGTAAGGTGTTTACTATGTTAATGATTATAGTGGAACTTAAATGCCTCTCAATCATAAATTTATCATTGTGGAAATTAAATTTGGCCATACATATAACAAAAAGGCATTGTCATCGAAATGTTCTACTTATTCATTTTTTTTTAGTTCAATAATTAATAGTAATTTCTCAAAAATTTTATTATAATAAAAAAATAATATTAATACTACTGAAAAAAGAAAAAGAATAAAAGTTAAAAAAAAAATTCATTTCCACTTAATTGCATAATTAAGAGAAGCTATGATGTTTATGCCTGTGTAAGGGAAATTAATACTATGGTACACTGTAAAAAGAATAAAATGTTGACTGTAAAAAAAAAGAAAATACATTTCCTTCTAGAAACCACTCAATTGCATCATTAGGAGAAGCTGATGATGTTTATGCCTATGTAGACTACACCCAGTTTCTAATTCATAATACACAAAAGCTGATACAAAGACACTCCTAGCACTGCAGCAGAAACCTATTGTAGACCAGCATCAAGACAAACACCCCATTGTCCACCCCTACCTTACAATGGTATAATTCATTGTTGGGTGGCTTTGGACAGGGGTGGCTTTATTCCTACATTAGGCCTAGGCTACATAATTATGATAATGTCAATAATAGTGTATGCTTTCGATGTCTAGGCCTATCATCAACCATGGAGGAAATATATGAATATGAAATATATTTGCTGCAATGTACTAGCATAACCTATTTAGGGCTTGACTTAGGCTAGACCTTGTTCATTTTAAGAAGAAAGAGGCAGTACAATTTATTATAGATAATGCCATGAGCATGGTAGTGTTTCTACCTACTGATGCCGTCGTGGGCCGAATAGGCTAGGCCTAGGGGTGTTGCAAAGCTAATACTGTAATACTATATAACTAGTCCTGTTGCCGACCCTAACATTATTTATATCATTATCGAGATAGCTGTACTTAGCAGACTTCTCAAATACTACTGAATTTCAGTAGTTATATAGACATTTTTCCTAATCATTACGGATGCATGGAAATAGGAAAAATACTACTAGTACTACTAGTACTAGGGCCTACTGCAGAAATTTATCATAGGCCTATCTATTATTTATGTGTATAATACACATAAATAATTCCAGAGCAAATTACATTTCCATCAGGAACTTTGGTTACATTGTCTCTAGACAACTCATTTTGTCAGACTGAAAAAATTATTGCAAAAGCTAAGAAAAAAAATGGCCTGTTATTTAGAATCCACAATTATTATTTTCCTACCCATAATTGTTTGCACTCAAGACAAATTATTTGGTGCTTTGGAAATTTTGCATTTACCTTACTATGGATAGTTGGAAGACTGGGTTACAAAAATGCTTTTTACTAACTTGATAAGTCTGTCTTAGGCAAGCCTAATTTAATAGTTTGTGCTGGTCTGGCATTTAGATTTTTATTATTTCTTTTACTTGCTAGGCACTGTACTAGAAGACCTTACCAAATGTAGGTGCAAATGAAGAGAAAGTTGTTAGGAGAGTTGTTACTGACATTGTTATAAAAGATAATGGTCAGCTAAAAGGAAGAACACCAGGCATATTAACCAGAGAAGGAGAAGCAAAATTGGCAGTTTGTTTCCTAACATTGTAGAAAAAACAACAATCTGTATTAAAAGATGTAAATGAAGAATCCACATTTGGTATGTTTTGTTGCTTACAGTAACAAAGAACCAATAAGACCATTAGAATAGATGTTTACTTTGGGATGCAGAAATGTAGTCTTTATTTCGAGGAAGATGATATACCCAGCAATTTAAATTATGTGTGTGTGTGTGTTGATTTGGTTCCTCTTCTTAGGGGTTATCCAACACTACTTAACTTAAAAAAATTAATTAATACTCTCAGCATTCTCATGTGAACTGTAAATACTGTATTAAAACTAACTATTTATTTAATCGTAAAGGAAACAATTCAAATAATTGATACGGGATCCACATATATTTTTTTCAATAATGATGTGTACTTTTTTTCTGTTTTGTAGGCTATGTTGAGGAATTATTTGATGCTCTTCCTTTGAGAGTCGGTATGAGATCAAAACGCTTAAGGATGCACTTGACAATGCAAAAGAAAATCATGACGTCATTCCTGAACAAATAACAAATTACTTTATTTGGACTGATAAGGCTACACTTGTTAGGGAAAGAAAGTCAAGATTCAAATGAAGCAGAAGTTTAATGTAGGTTATGCAGTAATGTTAAAATTAGGAATTCAAGTGCAAGTATCGGAAGGAATGGCTTCCATATTGTAAGAACTGCACATGCTGGTATTACTCTTGGGTTGTTTCGGCCAAGCTTGTGCCAGAGCCAACATATGAATCGCCTGTATGCAACATGACGGTACAATCTAATACAGTAATGTTAATGCAGAACCCCAATGGAAATAAACCTGCTATTAGTTTTCTTGGGCTATCCTGGCCAATGTTTTTGTTAATGTTTCCCTTTACATTTTCTATCAATTTTATCTTTGCATTTTTTTTAAATGTTAAATGTAAACTTTTGGCTGAATAAATGAATGAATATATCAGAAAAAAATATTTTTTTCAGATGATTGTTAAAGAAATTTACATGAAATTATTAAAGCTTGGAGAAATAGTTAAGTGGTGTTTTTCCCTTTCATCCAATTATTGGTCAATAATGGCAATTTTAGTAAAGCATGGACACTCTTGTTGCACTACTCACAAAAGCATATAAGGTCTAAGCAATTTTTACTATATTGTATATACTGTATATGCTTTATATAACTTGCAAAATACTGAAAAACAAACAATGCTGTGGGGATAAATGGAATAATATGCCCTCTTCTTATCATCAGCAATAACTGATGACAAGACAAGATCCAGCAATTGACAAGACAAGATGTATAT